AGAAAGATGGATGTGGCTGGGACCACAACGACCTTTCAGCATCTAGATTTTTTGCTTTTCAACTTCCGTTGTAACTCCTTTACTTTCAAACACATCATCTTCTTTTTACACGTCAATACAAATCAAATTTCCTATATGGTGTACCTAGGAGAGTAAAAATGAAATCCAATTTTAAAGCAAACTGTTGTGATCACTATCACTTCAGGAAGGAATGGTTGATGGGCTGGGAAATTTGGTATCAGCCTCTTAGATCTGTGGCCAGCATTGCATCCCTCAGCTTGCCGTCTTAATTGATATATAAGAAGACTAATAGATTTTTATCATTAAACGATAGTTGTTGAAGAATGACACTCCCTCCGTTTCAATTTGATTGTCTAGTTTTGACTTGACATAGAGTTTAAGAAAGTAAGGAAGACTTTTGAATTTTATGGTCGTAAACTAAAGATATGTAGAATGTACTAAAATGTCTTTTAATTTTGTGCTCTTAAACATACCATGTGGAAAGTTGAAATCTCCGTTTCAATTTGATTGTCTAGTTTTGACTTGACATAGAGTTTAAGAAAGTAAGGAAGACTTTTGAATTTTATGGTCTTAAACTAAAGATATGTAGAATGTACTAAAATGTCTTTTAATTTTGTGCTCTTAAACATACCATGTGGAAAGTTGAAATTAAAGATCTGCCAAAAAAGAAAAGAAAGATACATGCTTTATGAAATAGACTAAAAAGGAAACCAAGACGAACAAATTGAAACGGAGGAAGTATGAAAAATGCCTTATCAAACTAATGAATACCCAACTTTCTTTTGAGTTCTTGCAAACCTGATTTAAACAGATGTAGATCATACATTGTGAAACTAATATCAGAAAAACGATTTAGTGATAAGGTTAAAAGCACACGTACTCGATGCCATATTTTGAACCAACACGTTTATACTTGTCAGCATCTATTTTTGCAATACGTATGGGCTGCTTCAAATCAGCAAGAATGAGAGCAGCTTTGTCCAACTGCAATGAACTTAAACTTCATCAGATTGCTTTTAGAGGTCGAAATTCAGGAAATCACATGAAACCACGTATCAGATAGAATTCAAGTTTCTTCTCGTGAAAAGAAATGTGCATATTAAATGCAATTGGAGGGAGGGGGAGGAGGAGAACCTCACATATACAAAGAACAGTTGTAACCTCATCCCTCAGGCAGTTTCATATGGACAACCCCTCTTCCCACACTAAAACAGAAGCCATCCAACAGAGAGATAAGATAAAGCATAGATTCTCGCATAAAATATGTGATCTTAAGCTTAATACCATCAATCAAATAGTCCATTACTTAATCGGAGATTATTTGTTCTTATGAGTCCAAACAGACACTGCATTGGTCATATGGGTATGCAGACTTTATACGGAGATTATTTTGCTAATGCGGCCAACCAGCTACCCCTCAGAGGAAAGATCAACTGATAACAATGGTAACACAGAACATACTTAGGAAGCATTAATAGTAAAAATTACTTTCACAAAATGTATTGGAAATCTCGTATTGCCCAAATGACATAATCATTCTTGAGTCCAGAAAACTTTTCATTGGAGAAGCAATCAACCTTTTTGAAGTTAATTGAAGAGTCCTTTATTAATTAAGGTAGAAACGCAACCTTGTTGGTAGTTATTTCTTTGTCCACCAAAGGCTTGGACACATGCCAATAAATCACCTAGTGTTTTTATACTTCCAATGGGATTAGAACATGAAACCTCATAGTTCTCAATCTAGTTGATCAACCACTAGGCCAGTGCAATTAGTCCGTCTATACTTTTTAGTCTAATTTCACATCCAAGTGTATGGCCTAGTGGTTGATCAACTGGATGCAAATCTCAAAGACCAGAGTTCAAAGTCCAACAGAAACAAAAGAAGATTAGATTTCTACCTTCGCCTAAGTGTTGGTGGCCAAAGTAACTCAGTAGTTGTGCTGGTGGATATGGCACTACCTGGCGAATAGTCGGGTACATACAAGCTGGCCAGACACCACCATCAGATTTTTTATTTTATTTTTAATACTAATTTAGATCACATATCCCAGCAAACGTATCATAAAACTCGGTATAAGCTTATTCTAATTTTTTCAGATCTTAGTTCATTCAACTCATTTGGCTTTTCTTCTTGGTAATTTGGGTCAATTATCTGATTTACTCACACTTGACCAATCGTATCTATTGCAGTTATCCACTTACAAACGTAACTTAGTAAGTTAAGTGATTTGCACCTACGAATTACTACAACATTCATTCGAGTAAGATCTATTAAAGGAGAGGACTCTAATAAAAAAATAAACAACACTAAGTAAAGGAAATAGACCTGAGGAGCAAGTCGTTTGCAGTGGCCACACCAAGGAGCGTAGAAATCAACCAAAATATAATCGAAATTGGAAATTGCAGCATCAAAGTTAGATTCATCGAGTTCCAATACTTTTCCACTCTCCACGGCGAACTGTTGCTTCTGCTGTTCCGTCTCCGCCGCCGTGATGAATGGCCATGAAACCAAAACTAAGAGGAGGAAGATGAAGTGAAACGACATGGTATTATTTTTCATCATAGTAGTTGAATAACAATGAATGAATGATGGATCTATCTAAAGACTTGGAACATTTTGGACTTCTTTTTTTCTTCTTTTATGAATTGTGTTGTTTGATTGTCTATGAGAATTTAGGTGTGTTCAAATGTTTTAAAAAAAAATATAATTACTACTACAAGAAAATATGGATTTTCAAAGTAAATTTTGCATCAATTCTAATTTGGCCTTATATATTTGAAATTGTTAATGGTTAATTTAACAGTTTGGTCAATATTTCAATTTGAAGGTCGAAATCGAGAATTTAAAATTTAAGAAATAATTAAAAAATATTTTACATAAAGTGTTAAGACTCAAAGTCATTCATGAGTTTTCACATGGAGCATTAATAGTTCCTTATGTTTGTAATATTGGTGCATTTTTAGTCCTTCTTCAAAATCTTGCCTATTTTTTAACATTGATTTTATTCATAATTTATGTATGGAATGTTTAATCGTCATTTTATATATTTAGTAGAAATAATAACTCCATGTGAGAGATTGTGAGAAGAAAAACACCTTGTTTTGTTTAGTAGAAATCACATTGCAGGTAAAGTCGAGAGGTTCATCACGACGATTTCACGTGCAATAATAGTACAAAATTTTCTTTTCTTGCAATGTCAGATGTTAAAATGTTTTTAGTTTAGCTGCAGTAATATTTATACTGAACAGAACAAGATGTTCTCCTTCTCACCTTATCTCACATAGAATTATTATTTTTACTAAATATATAAAAAGACGACGGGATATTCCTTACATAAAATTATGAACAAAATTAATGTTAAAAAATAGGCAAAAGTTTAGGGGAGGACCAAAATGCACCAATATTGCAAACATGAGGAATTGTTAGTGCCCCATCTGAAAACTCAAGGATGACTTTGAATTTTAACCCAAAGTAGTGGGACTATTTTCCCCCTTCTCTCTAAAGTAATGATCTATTTGTAGATATGCCATAACCAATAATATGTGAGTTTAAGTAATATTTTTGTTTTAAGAAACCAAAGACTACCTCTAATTTGATTTGATTTGATTTTCAACCAAATCATTTGATTTCCACTTCTATATAACCGAATCATTGCTTTTTGAATAACGATTCATTAAGTTATTAATATTATTTCAAATAGACATTTGAAATTGAAGATAACGTAAAAAAAAAAAAGCTATGAAAAAATATAGAGTTTAAGTTTCATTTGTTTATATTTTTCTAAATCTTAATTATTTAGAAATATTCTTGTGGTAGGCCATGTTCGTGGTGAAAAATATAAGGAATTAATCTTCTCTATTCTTTCCCCAGACCCTGCTACTAAGAAAGATGTTCACTTCTTAAAATATCCTATATATGTAGGCGAGAACAAGGGAAGGGGTTAGATTTATTCCGATAGCAACAAGAGTAACAATACAGTTTATAATGATACAACATGTATAGTAAACAAAACCATACGAAAAGAAAAAGAGGGTATGAGATAATCATAACAGATGCGTCGAAGTGACATCAAGTGGTTGATATTATCCCTCCCGGACCATAACTTTTTGTTTCCGAGGGAAAATCTATCAAATTTGATCAACAATCAACGAATAATCCTAATGTAGGCGGTTTTGGTCAGGGAGATGCAGAAATAATACTTCAAGATCCTTTATGTGTCCAAGAACTTTTGTTCTTCTTGGCATTTGTTATTTTAGCACAAATATTTTTGGTTCTTAAAAAACAACAGTTTGAGAAGGTTCAATTGACTAATATCTTTTAAGATGTCTATAAAAATAATAGTTCACTTTTACTCCATCTATTTTTACTCACCCTACAATCATCATTTCAACCACAACCACCACCGTCAATCACCACGTCCTACCGTCCACAACCACCATCCTTAGCTCAACTACAACCGTCACTACCATCAATCACCAAAATCAATTTTCATCACCATTAGCCATCATTTGCAATCATCACAACCAACCATTATAACATCCACTAATCATTATCGATAATAAAAATAATTAGTCAACATTAATATCGTCAACTGTCATTATCATTAGCTATCAATATCATTCCACTATTAATTACCAACAACAACCACGATTAATCATTACTCCAATTACTATACCATAATATACTACCTACAACCACTACCATTAGCCAACACTATCCCGAATCACAGACAATCACTGTCATTAAGCATCACCACAATCAATTGCTATAAATTTTAAAATATTTTATTGTTATAATATTAGATCAATTTAATATTTTCTTTGAATTTTATAATATTTATTATTCTAAACAAAGACAAACAATATCTTAATATAATAATTTGTTTTTTTTCTTATTTAAAATTCAAAAATGTGAAGTTATGCCGTTTGTATTGAATGTCAAACTAAAATATGGTAGACGCTAGGCTTTAGTTCTTTGAGGGAAAAAAGAAACTTTTGATTTCTCCTTGAAATTCCTCGAGAGAATACACAATTACAGATTTTCTGGTGAAATTTGGGAAGACCCAATTCATCTGTGAACATACAGATCGTTAATTTAGTAGAAGAAAATAGTAAAGATTTGATTTTTTGCGATGAGTTCACGAGGGCTGCTGCCATTGATGAATCTTGTTAGACTTAATGGAGTCCCAATTCTGCAGCAGTTGCAATTGGAGGAGCGGCTACTAAGGACCTCATCTCATAACTGGTGTATCGTGAATGATGGAACTAATGAACCCACCATTGTCATGGGGATTTCAGGGTGAGCTATCAATTTTCACCCTTTGTTATGGTATGATGATGTTACTCTTTTTTTCCATAAATACTTTTTTGTAGAAATGTTTCTTGATGGTTTCGATTGGCGGGTTCGTTGTACAAAGATCAATTCTTTGTGGGTTGTTATAGCTTTTTGGGTTTTTTGTTAAATGATGGACTAATCCATAGTTCTTAATAGAATGTGTGATAGTAATTGGTGTCTTTTGCCATGAGTGGCTTATGTATATACATCTATACTGAGTTTGTTGTTGTGCTTGATTGGAAATGAAAGTTAGGAGTTTGAAACATTACTCCCTCTGTCCCAATTTACGTGATGTTGTTTGACTTGACATGAAGTTTAAGTAAGAAAGACGGTTGAGACTTGTTTCTAGAACAAATCATAGATGTTTGTGTGGGTATAAATCATATCTTAAAGACTTTTAAAGTTAAATTGTTACTAAATAAAGAAATCTGTAATTCTTTTTGGGACTTACTAAAAAGGGTTGTGTGTCACATAAATTGGAATAGCGGGAGTATTTGTTTTCGCTTCATAATTGTAGTTTTGCAAATCTTTGAATAGTAGAAGTTACTTTGAGTGGGGTATACATTTTGAAGAGTTTCTCTACAATGAATTATTAGGATGATTTGGTTCGGATGCTATCTGAATTTCTAGGATGTTCACTATTTATCAACTTCATCTCCATATATATAAAAAGAAGTAGCTTGAAAGAAAAGTCTTCAATTGGGTTAGGAGCACGCAAATTCGTACCCTGAGCCAGACTCATTATCCACTGGATTTCGACTTGCGTGCCACTGGAACTGGGGGTTTCTTAGTTATCACAAGAAAAAAATAAGGATCTTTAAGTTGTTCCTAGGTACCATTAAAAGTTGCAAAAGTAAGGCAAAGGCCACTTGTTTCTATATCTCACACTGGATGATGGATGTGCTAGGATGAGTGTGGTGCCACTTTTCATTTACATCTACTTAATAGTCATTTTTAGGGTGGGGTGGGGGGTGGGGGGGATTATACCTCTAACAGCTCAATAAGCGATCAATGAATGACATTATTCCAGAATATCTGCAACTGTGTGGTTTCTGAAAATAAGAAGTAAGCAGATCTTATATGAATCAAATATGTTCCACATGTCAAGAATAATTTGTAAAGATTCTTACTGGTTTGATTTAACTTAGTGAACTTGCAGAATATTAGCATCTGCGTGGTTTCTGGAGAAAAAGTAATCAGAGATAAATTTTCTATGAATCTAATATGTTCCACATGTCCTGAATAATTTGTAAAGATTCTTATGTAGTGAGCTGTCATTGTCAACTTATGACTCCATTTGTGTGTCATAAAGACACTGATAACAAGGCCAGTTTTCCACTTTCAGATATCGCGTAGACCATATATTGGTTGGAGATAAGCGGTCAGTATTACCTACACTTCTGGTGTTCAAATTCTGATCTTTCAGTTTTTAATTGATGCAAGAAGTTATGAGTACTTGAATGCCATAGCTGTAATGATAGAACTTTACTGCTGTATGTTTTGGATTGTGTAATTTTATATAACAGCATTAACCATTTTACAGAAAACCAGCTGAACTTCTTGAAATCGGTCCTGTTTTACAAGACAAGGTTCCAGTAGTTAAGAGGTTTTCTGGAGGGGGCACTGTAATTGTCGATCACCGGACAGTTTTCATCACTTTCATATGCAACACAGACGCTCTCCCTAGTGTACAGCCATATCCTAGGCCCATCATGTCATGGAGTGGCCAGCTGTATAGCAAAGTGTTTCAAGGAGTTGGGGATTTCTCTCTTCGTGAAAATGGTACTTTTTTTGCTCAAGGATATTGTTCATCATTGACTGTCCAGCGTAATTGCAGGAAGTGTTGCAGGTTTTCTTCTTCGAGATCCAAAAAAGAAAAGAGAGAGAAAGAACACTTCACTTTTTACTTGTCCAAAGAAGAAAAAACCACTTGCTTTTAAACTTTGTTAAGGAGGAAACACTTGCTTATGCTTTGCTGTATGGTTTTGTTTGCACAATATTAGTAAAACTTATTTGACTAACAAAGAGAAACTGGAAGTTTCATCTGGCCAACAATGTATTTGTGCATATACTGGGGTCTAGAAACTAAGGTTGAGTGTCAGTCTGATGATGCTGTAGTAAGAACTTATTCTACGATGGTGATTGTCCTCCGATAAAACTTTTATGCCGCACTCATGACTCATTAAGGGAACTTCCTTTTGTATAGATTTAATTGTTTCTGGAATATAAGGTTCAAGAACTTTCTTGCTAACTTCCTGACAAGAAAAATCACATTCATTGGATGACCACTTGGATGCTTCTTTTTCTGTATTCGTATTTCTTATTGTTAGCAATATTATGTTCTTTCCTCCTTATGCTGTTGGTTCCCGTTCCTATGTACACTGTCTTACTTAGCCTTATAAGAATGGTGAATACTACCCCCCACCTGTCACTATCCATCTGCTTGAATTTGTCTTTTGTTTTCAGCTCCCACATTAATCTGACTTGAGGAATTATTATTTCATTTTTTGCTCACCAACTTTCTTAGATAACCAACTTCATATTGTACTTCTACATGATCACAGACTATGTTTTTGGCAACCGCAAGTTTGGGGGAAATGCTCAATCTATCACAAAAGGGCGTTGGGTTCATCATACATCCTTTTTGTGGGATTATGAGATGATGAACATGGGTTATCTCAAACTTCCAAAACGAGCTCCTGACTATCGACAGGTCTGCTAATACTTTTGCAAATTCCTTGTTCTACTTGTTAAATAATCTTGTGAGCATTTTCTTAAAGAACTTGATGATGCAGCTGATTTTTTGACATTGTGTTTCTTGAAACACTCTGATTTAAGATGTTGGCAGAATAATCTCAGCCGTGTTTAAGATTGATGCCAAAATTTCATTCTTGTTGTATGTTGCATCATATGGGACAGCTATGTAATTAACAGAAGGATACTGTTCAGGCAGTCATTAATAGAATATATTCATAGCCAGAAATAGCTTTTCTCTTCCCTCCAACGTATAGTACATTACTACATTGCACTGCATGATACTTCTTCTTAGCCCGATGGTGTCAATACCTGTAAGCTGATACTGATATCGTGGTGAAAAGATGAAGCATGGGTAGCTTCTCCATTTGCACCTTTTGATCCTTATGTACTCTGCTCTCTTATCTTTAATTACATTTGCACAAATAATAATTACTCTGGTAATGTCTTGACAGCTGTGTTATACCATCCCATAATTGTAGAACATGTTTTAATTTTATTTGACTCTGAATTTGCTTGATGTTGTTTTCTCATTGATGATAGTACTGGAATCATGAGGGATTGTAGTATAAGATGCACAGTGTTCAACTAGGAAAGCATTCAACTTCTAGGTTTGGAGGATATGGGAAGGAATTTGTTATTAGATGCCAATGCTTGATAATTATGTAAGTGAATGTTGAAGTTTTGGTACAGTTGACGGTGGTACCTTTTGTTGAGATATTTCATATTATGTTGATGATTCTTATCACATGGTATCAGGTTCTTGTTACCATTTCCCAATCTAGTTTATTGCTCGTGGCTTTTTTTCTCTACGTAAGTTGAGTTAAATATTCTCATGCCCAAGTCTATAGTAGTTCCAATTATATGCAAACTCATTTGCTACTTGACAATTTCTTCAATACTTTTTGTTTGCACAAGTTACTTTTCCTATGCACGTTAAAAAGTTTGCTTGCTTGTCTCTGAGAGAGTGTTCTATTGGTTATTCAGGCAAGAGACCATTCAGACTTTATTTGCCGCATGAAGGATTATATATCTCGACAAGAATTCATCAATAGAACCATTTCTGCACTTGGCAGCCAGTTTAGTGTAACTCCTCTGGAGCTTGAATCATCTGACTGTCCTGATGACACGAAATTTGTGCCCTCCACTAGACTACTAGGAAAACAAGAACTGGAGGAATGTTTTGAGTCTGAATCTGGGAATGTCATACTTCAGTCACTGTAACTGCTACAGGACCTTTGCTTGATGATGCTACTGTATGTCAATGTACCTTAGTTGATTATTCGCTCGAGGAATACTTTCCAACTCATTTGTGTTGCTACTTTGCTCAGACAAAAATACTGAGAAGAAGTGCTACCTTTTTACCATTGTGCTTAGCGGTGGGCATTGTTTGTAAGCACGTCGATTGAGTGCTTACACTAATTATTCTCTGGACACATGACCATCTCTCTCCCCTTCATTTGGTTCTGTGGTTTTAGCTAGTAGAGGTCTTGATGGAAAGTGAAATTTTCCAAATTTACACAGTGCCTCTTGATTATACTCTTTAAGTTTTGCTTTTCAATAATCATAGGTATTAAGAGTATGTTAACAAGCACATTCAAAAGACATGTCCAATGTAACAATAACATCATGTGTAATATGAGTTTTCTCTTGATTAGACCACCTTGATTATCTAGTGGAATAAGGATGCAATTGTACTTTTATGTGGCAGTGGTGATAGAGGGGAATGAGATAGTGGTGGTGGAAGAAGAGGGTGTAAAATTGTTTTGGAATGGTGAGGTGGCATGCCGCGTGATGTCCACTTCACCAAAATGTCAGTGTCATGTAGGATGAACTTTTTACCTAGTATAGAAGGATATATTTGAATATTTTCGTTTAGTATAGAAGGATATATTTGAATATTTTCGTTTAGTATAGAAGGATAAATTTGACTTTTCCCTTTATTTTTTGAATGGGAAAAAGGGGATTTCATCTTTTGTTGTACTGATAATTAGTTTGTTTACCCTTTATAAATAGTAATAATAATAAAAATACTAGCCAATAATTGATGTTGGCAGTGAGATAGATGTAACCATGATAAAATAACATGCAATCTATCTCCTTTTAAGCATCTAGCTATTCTTGAAAAACTTTTATTCCTTGATTGGACCATTTCCAATTTTATACCATTAGACAGTTATAGCAATTTAGTTTAAAGCACGTAAAAAAATTGATTGTCTTTTATCCAATCTTTCATCAAAAGTTGAAATTTGTAAAAAGGAATAAGAGATTCTAATATCTACCATGTGGCACTGTATGTTAATGTGCCTAGTCGTCAATATTAAATATACGCAATCTCTAATAAATTTCTATGATCAAGTGTATTGTAGTGACATGTGGTTTGAGAGCTGTTAATCTTGAAATTATATTTACAAACTGAACTAAAGGTTTCATATAAACATTCAGACTGGTAGAATAGTAGATTTTTCATTTTTAAACAAACTATTACCTAATACATCTCTACTCATGTCCACATAGCGGTCTCCAATTTAAATATTTCGCTCTCTCCTCTAGAACATTTCAAGAATTTTGTTTGTTACTCACTTCATCATTTGCCCTCAGAGCAGAGAAAATCATTGCTCATCTTTAATTGAATGCCTTGAAAGAGGCATATTCAATACAAAAATTCTACCAACAGTAACCTGCTTTATTGCCCACAATATGTGCATAGAGGTGTATTTAGAATGACTCGTTAGTTGTAAGGTCTACAAATATTAAAAGACACAAGTACTTAAAATGACATGTTAATTGTAAGGTCTACAAATATAAAAAGACAAAAGTACAAAGAATGACATGTTAGGTGTTAAGTTTGCAATATGAAATTTCAGTTGCAACATACTCAAAAGAAAAGATATAAACAAAAGGTTCTACCTGTGATTATAAGAAATGAGAAGGAACTTGCCACAGGTTCACAGTGGAGAACAAATGCCTTGCCTGTAACAAAAGGAAAACTTAAAATTTTGGTAAATTCATCCAACAACGAGACAAAGCTTAACTGTTAACTACTTGACGTCAAAACTACACTCAACCTGTAAGCATTTTATAAGATGGTGTTGAAGTTTGCAACTGTTTATGAAATTATGGTGTCGATCATCTTTGTTGGTACTGAAATTTGGTTATTTGTTTTGATGTTTCTTTAAGCTAGTAATGGACTTAACATTACTTGTTTTTACTGATTTTGGGAGCTGATAAACTGTTCTGTTTTGTTATTATAGTTTTAAAGCTAGAATTTATTTGTTGATGTATGTTTTTGACATTGGAATACAACACTTGATAAAACACATATTTAGTACAAAGAGAAAATAACCAAATGACCATTCTAATTATCAAACTACATACTTATACTTCATGGGTCCTATTAGTTTTTGACATCCACATTATTTCGCGCATTAATCTTTTTCTTTTTTTTTTAGAAAAACTTCCTCCTTCCTCAATCATTTCCTCAACCCTAACCACGGTAAACACTATCTTTTACCTCAAAAAATTCTTATATGCCTAACAAATCAAAATCAAACCTAATGGCAATGATTTTACACCTAAAAATCAAAATAAAAAATGGTACTATTTTTGCACTATTTATATGGCTCTACAAAGCTTTGAACAAAATCTTACACCTTCTAACCCCACCCCCTCCGTTCGCGCACACCTTTTAGTAGGCAAAGAAATAACTTGCAACATCAATTACAAATAGTTTATAATGTGAGTTTGGATATGAAGATTTGATTGATGTTTTCCTAAGGGTGAAAGAGAACGCGGAACTTCAATTTCCAATCACAAACGATCCCATTAAAGCTGTGATTTTCGTAAGTTTGCTCTAAATAGTTGCAAAGATAAATCATTTTTTTCATATGTCAGCAAATCAACGTAACGTCCTAGTCCACATCCCTATTAAGGTTTCTCCTTAAAGATTGTTCTTCTTCACTCTATCAGGTCCCTTGTCGTGTGTGTTCTTAAAGCTTGAGTTCTTGAAAGACAAAAATCACCTTTTTAATGAATGAATCATTTTGTTGTTTGTTCACTTGAATATATCAATTACCAACAAGAATTATTATCCGCTGAACAAACAACCTCGTCCATTCTCATTGGAAAAGTACGTTGTCCTTCTCACCAACCAACTGACATGACAACTTTACCCTTGTTCACCATAGTGAACTTCGACGAGAGCTACTTTACTTGGGACCGGATCTCAGCATTTGTGAGAATCATCAAAACACCTGAAATACTACAAATTCCAAAAGAAAGTAGAGTAAAAAAAAAATCATGCTGAAACATCATATTAAATAAATGATAACTAAACAATTGGTTGGTTAATGACGGGAATTCTCTAACTGAAAAAAATTTTCTTAGTCGTTACACATAAACTGAATTCTTGATTTCAAGAAAGTGAAAAACAAATGAAGATCTATTCCATTTCTTCCTTTCTACTCCCTGAAGAACTCTGTATTCTATATTTGCGAAAAAAGATTTTGTTGATGCTCACAAGTCGTTAAGAAGGTGAAAAAAGATCAACAGAACACTATCATTCCATTTTTGTAGTTGAAGAATTGTGTAGGTATGAATTATTCTCCATTATTCCTTCCTTTCTTTCTGAAGAATTCTCTGTCGTTGTTACACAACAATCAACTATTTGAAAAACTTCATTTTTCTTTAGTTCTAAGAGAGTCTGTGAGTATTAATTGTTTCCATCTGTGTCAAATTCTTCAACTAGTCAGTTTTGATTATACTTTATATATTTTAGTTTCAATATTAATTTTTGACAATTCATGTTGTCATACTTTTCTCAATTATTGTTTCGTTTTCTTCAGTTCGAAGAATAAATAGACTTGGTTGCTATCTGAGAGCCTACACCACCTCATGATTTGAAGGGACTATTGATTTCCAAATTTATCATTTTTATATTGAGAAAAAAGAAATTTTAATTTCTAAATGAGTTCTAATGTAATCTCTAATTATGGGCAAATATCTAGCATACCCTAAGGTAATCTTTGATAATGGGCGAATCTCTAGAATAGAGTGAAAATCATTTCTACAATAGATCAAATATTGTGAACGTGCTAAGCACTTCAAATTTTCAAGATCTGTGTCCCATGTCAATTATAGATCTATACTTTTGAATCAGAGGCGTATCCAGGAGGGGGTCACCGGGTTCACGTGAACCCATGCTCCCCTCCTGAAATCATAAAGAGTAGTGTTATATTTTTAAAAAAATATTAAATATAGATATGTGAACCCATAGTTGAAGTATCATATCGTGCGATTATGATTAGGTGCACCTCTCTAAGTGAGGTAAGAAATTTGAATCTTTTATTTATCTCATTTTAATTTTCCTTTCTAAAATTGGGTAACGCCTCTCTAAGTGGTTTGGATAGGTACAAATAAATTTGAACCTATAATTTTAAAATTTTAATTATTTTTAGTGATAAAAACCTAAATGTTAAACCGATCAAATATATATCTTAGATCGACCTTAGCTTTTCGTAATAGTACACCCATCATCTCAAAATCATGAATACGCCTTTGCTTTTGATTTTGATTCAACTTATATGAGAAGAGAAAATTAGGTCAAAACTTTGGATTTGACACAAGAAAGGAAGGATACCATAGATGATTTTTAGAAAACAATTGACAAGGTAATCTGTTGTGGTAGAACTTAGCTAAACACTTAGGACTCGTTTGGTAGGAGGTATTAAATAGAATAGTCCATGGATTAAAATTTAATCCATCTAATACATTGTTTGGTTGCATTATTTTATTTAATCCATGGATTGCTTATACCTTATGTATGGTCTTATTTTATCCCTAGTAAATGGAGGGATAACTAATCCAAGGTTTGTTAAACCTTGGATAAGACCCCTAAATGACAAAATTATCCCTTTATTCATTTTCCTAAATTTCTTTTATAATTTAATTTTCTTTTTATTTATATTGAAATAATTATAAATGTTCTTTTTAATTCTCCAAATCCGTTTAGTGTAATTTAATGATTTCATTAATATTTTTTTCTCCTTTTTTTTTATTCAATGTAGTTCGTCGATTAATCACTTGGAATTTTTTTTTTAATAAGCTTTAGCTATTGAACAATATAAGTAGTCTTAAATCTATGTTAAGTTTAAGATATACTTTACCAACAAAAAAAGTGGTACGTCATACCTCAATTTTATATATATATATATATATATATATATATATATATATATATATATATATATATATATATATGTATGTATGTATATATATGTATGTATGTATATGTATGCATATGTTTAACGTAACTAGTTAAATAAAATAGAAAATCCT